AGGAATCAGAAGTGTCTGCAGTCTGGGGGAGCGGGCTGCAGCCCACGTGCACGCCAGAGGCTGCAGTGTGGCCGGGGCAGGGACCGTGGTGAAGGGCTGGGCTCTGGAGCTCGCAAGAAATGAACTCAGGAGTGTTGGCAGTGGATGGGAAACCAGGGCTGTAGGAAATCAGGACTTTCAAGATGTGATTGGTTTACTAGCCAAATGAAAGAACACCCAGACTGACGATAATAGCCAAGCATCCTCAGAACCCACCTCCCTGTAATTCCCTTAACGCCACCTGCCCTCCTAGGCTTTCTAGTCTTCAGAGACACATCCCGATGATCCCCACCATGTTGAGTCATACAGTGTAATATATGTTGCCCTCATTTGCTAAGCAATAGATAATGCCTTCTTTAATTATGTCCCATCATAGAACATTTGAGCTGGAAGGGACCTCAGGGGCCATCTCCATTTTCTTCATTTTGCAAATAAAGAAACAGAGTCCTGGGGATCCAAGATGACAGTGGAGCAGGTAGATGTTACACTCACCTTCTCCCAAGACCAAACTGGTATTGCAACTAAAATACAGAGCAATCAACCTGAGTAACCAACTGAAGACTAACCAAAGAGAGTCCTTAAAAACCAAAGATTTACAGAACAAGCCACATTGAGACTGGTAGATGGGTAGAGATGTGAAAAGGGCCTCTGCTCCCATCGGCAGTGGCTGAGATTCCAGGGGGATGTCAGTGCTTCCCCCAGAGAAGTGTGGGGTCTCAACTCCAAGCCTGGTCCCCCAGTCCAGAGAAACAGAACTGGGAAGAGGTGCCCATATAACATCTGGCTGTGAAAATCACTGGGGAGTCTGTCTGCCAGGGAGTAATGGGGGTCTGTGAGAGACACGGGTGCCCTCTTAAAGGGCCAACACATGAGATCTCATTTGCAGCCACTCACCCTGGGCTCTGCAGGAGGGAGAAAGTAGCAGGAGAGACCGGTGTTTGTGGCTCTGGGAGAGAACTGAAAGGATAGCTGCCAGGACACCTGTGCTGAGTGGCTCTCCTACACCACAGATGCCATCTCCATTGGGTAGGAGCACTTTCTTCCATACAGCATCATATGGGGAATACAATAGCCCCATCCTCTGGACTCCTTATAGTTCCACCCCGCAGAGCTTGTGCCCTGCTAAGGAGTCAGCTGCCTGGGCCAGAGTGTAGAGGTCTAGACAGACTCAGGGAGTGTCAGTGGCTGAATTGTGTAGCTTTGAGGCAAGGGCAACTCCCTCTACCTTCCCCCAAGCCTGACCTGCATCTCCCCCTCACAGGAGATCCCCTAGCTCCATCATCCTGACTCCTGGCAGAATCTGGGACAGACTGCATTATATGGCTCTGGGACTCTAGGATGGGGGCCATTTTCCCCTCACATGCAGCACCCTCCCTTCATATAGTCAAATCTTGGTCTGTTTGAGCCTCATAACTCTGCTAGACTCACCCTGATGACTCCTTGAGACTCCACCTCATCACAAAGGTGTACAGATGGCAGTTAGACTTGGTATACTCTGGAACATTTGCTCAGTGGCCTCAGACACAGCACTGGCACAAGTCTGAGCAGGCATCAATCTGGTGAACACCAATTGCCCCTACCTGGTAACTCACGGAGAACCTACCTCATGCAACTCAAGTTCCACTAGCTGAGCCTCATGCAACTCAAGTTCAGTGGCTGAGCCTAATAGGCAGCCAACAGATGGAGGCAGGCAGAAGTGGATCTCAGGGTGCCTTGGGGCTTTTCCTGACCTGTCCACAGGCCCAGTGCTGGTAAAAAGCTGGCTTTGATGCACAGCTGGGTTCTTGCCATACATGCCCAGGCCTAGCAGAGGCAGCCACAAACTGTGGATTGCTTTATAGCTCAAACAGGTTGTTCAGGGCCATTCACAGGCAGCATCTGATATTGATCTGCACCATCATCCCTCCTAAGAAGCCCCAGAACCAACACACCCAGTGGCCAGCTTCAGACAATACCAGAGCAGATCCAATTAGCTTCACAGGTAGCATATCCAAAGGGAGATTTCTGCAGGCACCAGAGCCCAAGGAGGCAAAAACTGCTCTTTGTGGTCAGCACCAGCATAGCAGCTCATACACTGAGGTACAGGTAGATCCTTATAGCCAGTCAGTCTGAAGGTTAACCCCATGCATGAAGAGGGCAATAGAAATCAAGGCTCAGTTACAACAGGAAGGCCCACATAGCCCACATAAGGGACATTCCTGGAGCACCTAGTACAGGTGATCTAGGACACTGTGCCACTGGGTCCACAAGACACTCGCTACATAAAAGTGTCTAGAAGTGACTAGAAGTCATAGAAGATCTAGATAATACATTAAAACAAACACAAAGAAGCAGCCAAAATGAAGAGATGAAGAACCATGGCTCAAATAAAAGAACAGAAGAAATCTCTAGGAAAAGAGCTAAGTGAAATGGAGGCAAGCAATCTACTAGATATAGCATTTTTTAAAAATGGTTATAAAGATGCTCAGGGCCCTGGCTGGTGTAACTCAGTGGATTGAGTACAGGCCTGCAAACCAAAGGATTGAGGTTCAATTCCCAGTCAGGGCACATGCCTGGGTTGCAGGCCAGTTCCCAGCAGGGGACGAACAAGAGGCAACCATACATTGATATTTCTCTCCCTCTCTCCTTCCCTTCCTTCCCCTCTAAAGATAAATAAATAATTTAAAAAAAAAAACATGCTCAGGGAAGTTAGTGAGAACTTCAGCAAAGAGATAGCAAGCATAAAAAAGGACATAAAAAGCCTAAAAATGAACCAGTCAGAAATGAACAACAGAATATGTGAAATGAAGAATACTAGAAGGCATAAACAATAGGTAGGGTGAAGCCTCTGCTTCAAATTAGAAATTTGGAAGACAAGGTAGCAAATGACACCCAATCAGAGGGGAAAAAAAAGAATTTTAAGAACTGAAGATAGTGTAAGGGACCTTTGAAACAACAAAAAGTATAACAACATCTGTATCATAAGGATATCAGGAGAAGAGAAAGAACAATGAATCAAGAACCTATTTAAAGAGATAATGACTGAAAAATTTCTCAACCTGGTGAAGGAAAAAGACACACAAGCCCAAGAAGCACAGAGTCCCAAACAAGACAGATATAAAGGGGACCACAGCAAGGTACGTCATAATTATAATGCCAAAGGTTAAAGACAAAGAGAAAATCTTGAAAGCAGCAGGAGAATGATAGTTAGTTACCTACAACAGACCTCCCATAAGACTGTCAGCTGATTTCTCAACAGAAATATTTCAGGCTGGAAAGGATTGGCATGAAATATTGCAAGTGACAAAAAGCAAGGACATACAACCAAAACTACTTTACCCAGCAAAGCTATCATTTAAATTTGAAGAAGAAATAAAAAGAGCTTCCAAAAGAAGAAAAAACTAAAGGAATTCACTATCACCAAGGCAGTATTACAATAAATGTTAAAGAAAAATTTTTAAGAAAAAAATAACAGAGGAACACAGTTAAAAGAATAAAATGGCAATGAATACATACCTATCAATAATCAGTTTCGATATAAATGGCTTAAGTGATTCAATCAAAAGACATAGGGTAGCTGAAAGGATAAAACAACCACTGTGACATCAAGACCCAAACATACGCTACCCAGAAGAGACCCACCTCAGAATGAAAGATACACACAGACTGAAAATAAAGGGATGGAAAAATATTTCATGCAAATAGAAAGGGGGAAAAAAGCTGGGGTAGCAATACTTGTATCTGATTATGCTGATTTAAAAAAGTCAGTACCAAAAGGTATTATATATGATATGATATGATTCTATTTATATAACATTTGAAATGAAAAAATTGCAGAGAATTAGAACAGATGGCCAAAAGTTGCCAGGTTGCCAGAGGTTAGGGGCTGAGTGAGGGCACAAAGGAGGCAGTAGGCAGGGGAGGGAGGTGGGCGTGGTTATACGAGGCCAGAACTCCTCCCGGTGCTGGAACTGTTCTGTGTCTTGACTCTCATGGTGGACGCACAGGTTTACACAGGTGATAAAATTTCATAGAACTAAATACACACACGGCTGTGAGCACACACATGTGTAAAACTGGTGAAACCTGAATCACATGAGTAGATTACATCAATGTTAATTTCTTCCTTGTGATGTCGTAGCATAGTTTCATACCTAGTTAGGGATGTCTTGGAATTATTTTTTACAACTGTGTGTGAATCTGCAATTATCTCTAAGTGAAATGTTTAATTTAAAAAAAATAAAAGAAGAGCTTCCTAAGCTGTAAGGACTGTATATGTGTGTGCGTGTGTTGTTTTTATAGTAAGAATTGTAGGAGCACATTTACTGTTTCCTAAATATCAGATTATTCATTCTAGTACTGCTTGTAATAGCACAAGACTGGAAGTGACTTAAATACTTAACTACCTGTCCATAAAATAGTAGTTAAATAAATTACAGTGCATCTGTAGAATAGGTTTACACAACTTTGCAATAAAATGAGTAAGCTCTTCATATATACTAATACAGAAAAAAATTTTAATCTGTTTTTAAGTGAAGAAAAGCAAAATGAAGGATAATGTATATAGAATGATAGAATTTGTATTTTAAAAACAGCATTTGAATATATATTTAGAAATCTCTGGAAGTATATATGAAAAGCTATCATTAACAGTGGTCCCTACCTTTGTTTTGTTTGTGAGGCAGGAGCAAAAGGATGGAAGAAGGACAAAGGTGGGAGCTTGATTTCACTGTATGTCTTTGTGTATTTTGGGGTTTTTTTGAACATTTGACTAAATTATTCAATATATTAATTTAAAGTAGTAATTTTACAACTGATGCCAGTTGAGCTGCAGATCTCTCTTCCACGTGTCACAGAGTTTGCCTCAGTCCTTTGGTAGTGGGCCAGTGAACACGGGTATTCTAACAGCTGTTTTTCTCAGGCAGCATAAAGCGTTCAAGGCTGCCTGTGATACATGAGGTCTGCAGGTGGGGTGATGGGAGATGGAGTGGCCTGAGGAGTTGGAGAGTGTCCTGGAGAAGTTGGCATCTAAGCTGAGAGCTGATAATTCAAAGAAGAGATATAAGACCAAAAAGAAGGAGGGGGTACAGAGAGGAAATGCTGCTTATGCAGAGACACAGGGTAGGTGCCCAGTGAAATTGAAACTCAGCTTTGCCAGGAACAGCCCCTCACCTGCAGCTGCTCTGCAAAATCAGGCTTCTAACTTTGTCCAAGTGTCACCATTTTCCAGGAAGAAATGAAGAACTTACTGAGATGCATGTCTTCTCAGCCAATGCCAGTCCTAAGGGAGAATGTGTGTCTTTCACATTCACTTGACAATGTCACCCTCTGCAAGAAGGATGATACCCTCCGTGTCCCTGAACTTTTCATTGGTATCACATCTGTGGAACTGGGGGTCGGACTGTTTGCCACGTACCTGTGCCTCTCCTCTATCTGCCTCCTGTCATTATCTCTGAGGATGCAAGGACATCACCTTCATTACCCCCTGGGGCTTCCATCCCAGCCCTTTTAGTGAACTGCTACCCTGCCTAGTCACCTGGACTCCTGTGCACATTCACATCCAGCCCTGCCCAGAAGGAGCCCCGCCTGTGTGACAGGACGGCTTTTCCTGGTTTACAAGAGGCTCAATCCATGTACTCCCCCAATGGCCACTCTGTCTCATACCTCTAGGCCTTTGCACACACTGTTTTCTCTGCCTGGAACATAACTTAGAGCTCACTTCCCATGTGTTCAAGAAATACTATGAAGCACCTACTCTATGTGAGGTACTGTGTGAATTCTAGCATACAGTAGTGAACAAAACAGGCAAAACAAACAGACAAACCTGTTCTCACCAAATTTGCAGTGGCTGTAGGTGAAACTTGTATTCCAGGAAAACTGTTCTGACCTCTCAAGCAGTGGTGCTGTCCCTCCTATGTCGCTGCTGAGGCCCTGTCCTTCCCACTGGGGCAGCCGCCTTGTACAACACTCCATGGATGGAGCTATGGGGCAGACTTCCCTTACGGAAGATGGACCATCCTCCTTGAATACTGGCCCAGCTGGTAGCTCCTCCCAGGTCCCTGCCTGCCCAGGAGATAAATTCATTTCACAGAATCATTTGGAAGATTGAATGAGATAATTGGTTGCCAACTGTCCAGCACAGGGCCCCGGGCAAAGAAGATGAATACATTTGTATTCATTGTAGTGTAGTGATTACAAGCAAGAATTATGAGGTCAGACAGGGTTTAAATCTCAATGTAGTAGCATTTACTAACTCTGTGACTGGGAGCAATGGACTTAGTCTCTCTGTAATTCAGTTCCCCATCTATAAAATGGGGACTAATGATGATAGCAGATAAAATATTATGAAAAAGTAGAATGTGATTTCTAAGCGCTTTGCATTTATCATATCTGCAATCATCACAAAAATTCACCGTTATCATCCCCATTTTGCAGCTAGGTTTACACACTCACCAAGAATCACACAGCTGGCAATGGCGAGCGTGGCTGCCCATTACCATTCCAGGAGCATGTGACCCCTTCCCTCACCCCGGGCTTCTTAGTGGTGTCACCTTGGCAGGTTATAGAAAGTCAATGAAGTGATATGTGTGAAGCACTTGGCACAGTGTTTGGCAGCTGGAAAGTGATCCATAAATGTTAGTGATGCTCACAACTACTATTGCTACTACCATGAATTTGCTCAATAGCAAAATGGTTTCATATGTGAATAAAGACTTAATGAAGGGAGTAAAGCCTTTTGTTTTCTCCAGTCAGATCAGCAGATAGAGCAGCTCCCAGCCAGTGAACTCAATGAAGGGCAATTAATTTTCCCATAAATGTTTCAACAGTCACCTGAATTGTATAAAGCATAATAGTGGACACAGCAGATAGTTGGGAGATGTTATTGCCCAGCAAATGGGCTCCCACACCTGGTAACACAGGCTGACCTCCTGGTGAGGGTATCAGGCCATCAGAAGGTTTTTCCTGAGTGCCTCCTATGTGTCCAGGCACTGGAGAGAGCAGGGAGGGGAGGGTGGAACGGGGGCAAATGCAGGAGTCAGAGAAGACTGAGTGACGGTCTAGCATTCAGGGGCACCGTGAGACGTTAAATGATGCTGCCTGGCACGCATGCCGCTCCAAGCTAACCACCAACGCAGTAAGAGCTACGAATACAAAGAAGAGGAGATGACATGGGCTGGAAGGCTGATTGGAGAAAGAGAACCCTGATAGTTGGTAGGATGTGGGCAGGTAATGAGGAATACGAACAGGAAGGTCATTCCAGAAAGGGACAAGGAAATTAGCAAACATCTGGAACCAAAATACATCCCGAGGCTTCTCTGTTGAGGATGGTAAAAAGGTAGATGGGACGGAGTAGGAGTGGGGAGGTAGGGTTGCATGGGGGACAGGGAAAGCCAAGGTGCAATGGACAGTGGGGGATGGGAAGCCATTGGCTTCCGACACAGCCAGAAGCAACAGGAAGCTGGAAAACCCAATCCGCCGAAGGGTGCTGGTCACCCTATGAAGCTGCATGCCCGCTAAGAGCATGGTGCCTGGCCCCCAGCAGGTGCTCACCAGCTGTTATCCAAGTGGAGCTTCGGTCAGATACTCTACAAGGCAGGTGTCAAGACAGGGCCAGGAGTGGGGGGGGGGGTCCCATTTCAGAGTCCACTGCCCCCCCCCCCAGATGATACAGGAGGCTAGAGACTGGAAGACAGCAGATAGATGTTAACAGCAATTCAGTCCAGACGCTCACTGTCACTGCATCTCCGGCACCAAGGGCAGCACCTAGTAGCTGGTGGGTACTGGTATGCATTGGTCCCTGAAGGAATAAAGAGAATTCTTGGGACACTTGTGTCCCTGTGCCACCATAGCCCTCTCCCACCACCAGTAGGAACAAGCTCAGGATGTCGTCAGGTCTCTGTTACACATAGTTCCCTGTGTCCAAGATGCCTCACACCAGGTAGCATTCCTTCAAGGTTAATTCCCCCCCACAGCTGTCCAGTGCAATAGCCACGACTGGCTACTTGAAATGTGACTGGTACATCTGAAAACATTTATACCATTTTAATTAATTTTAATGTAAAAACTGATCATGGAAAGCTGAATCAAGTTGTTTGGAACAATTTGGGTACGTGGAACTACTTTCAACTGTCAGTTTGATGGAATGTAATACAATGAAGTGTTTCAGATGAAATCTAGTGGCTGAACAGAGATATACTTGCTGTACATGTAAAGTATACACTAGATTCAAGGGTTAAGATGCAAAAATATGTGTATATCTCTCTCACAGTTTTCGATTGTTTAATACATGTCAAAAGAATAATATTTTAGATGTAATTGGGTTAAACGATATGTTAGTAAAAATATCTAATTTTTATTTTTCATTGAGGCTTCTAGGACTTTTTAAATTTCATGTGTTTTGCATTATATTTCTATTGGACAGTGGTGGCTCAGACCTTCCTTTCTTCCCAAACTAATTAAAAGGGGAGGGTGGCACAGGATTTGGGGGAAGAAACTCCCAGAAGGAAAGAACCTGACAACCTCTAGGAAAGCACCTGACGTTGACCTTTATTCAGTTATAAAAGCAGCTCGTTCGTGCTGTGTGCCCAGCACTGACGCATTAACTCAGTCTCACAGCAATCCTGTAAAGAAAGAACTTTATTATCTCTGCCTCACAGATGAGAAAGCTGGGGGGACAGAGAGGTTAAGTCACTTGCCCAAGGTCACTCAGCCGGCAGGTGGCAAATTCAGAGTTTTTAGTCCAGTCTGCCTCTGGGGTCTGAGCTCTAAACTCCCAAGAGAGAGTGCTTCTAATTTTAGATTCTTGCTATCAGTCCAGTCCTCCTGTGTATCAGTGTCAGATTGAATTCCACTCTCCCCGCTTCTAAATATTCATGACTTCACTTCCCTCAGCCACATCTCTCGCACATCTCACATTCCTCACCTCAGCCATGCTGACTCGGTCCCCAAGTTCTGCTGGCCGGTCCCCCCTCCCCACCTGCCTGGCCTGGCCCCTGCGGCATGGTGCTTACATCACCCAGACGGGAACCTTCCGAATGGGACCATGGGACTTTTTTCAACCCCTCAAGATTAAATGTGATTTTTAAAAATGTACAGCCGTGACGAGTGACATTTCGGTTGGATGTGGGGGTGCAAGAGAAGATCAGAGGAACAGTGGAGAGATATTCTTTCCCTCACACAGTGTTACAGACTCAAGGCTGGCAACCTTGTCTGTTTAACAAAAAAGGACACAGAGGCTGGGACCTGTGAGCAAGGGGGACTCGCTGTGTGGGAGGGCATGAGGGACTCCAGGTGAGCAATGGGGTGGGGGTAACTCGGTGAAACGGAGACGATGCTGGGGACACAGCTCACTCAGGCTTATCACTAGCCAGGAAGAAGCAGTCACTGGTCTCTGCTCACCCAAATATCTGTTCCTCGGCACCTGGATACCACTGCCTCCTGCGAGGGCCCCACACCCAAGTGTTGCCACCTGTGTCCCCAGAGAGTAAAGCAGGCACACATGATATGCCCTCCGTGGGACAGTCAGATAAGACCGAGGGATTGCTTACCAGAGTCGGTAATTTGTGCAGACGCCTGACTGGATGGGTGAGAGCTGGCCGAGGCCCCTTCTTTCTCAGGTTCTCTGTCCCCTGCCAAGGGCAGAGGAGGGTGCTGCATGGCAGGTGCACCCCAGCATGACTGAGTCTCTTGAAAGGGGCAAGAGTGAGAGCATAGGCTCAGACGGACCCTCTAAACAGCTCTCAACGTGACTGGAACCAGCTCAGGCCTTCAACTGGGAAGGTTCCGATTTGAAGACACTGAGCCGGAGGCACTCCAACTTGGTCCGATGAGCAGCTTCCAGCCAGTCCAGAGCAGGCACTGGTTGTTTTCCTGGTATTCCTGAGTGTTTGTTGAACCACGAGGTCGTGAAGCCTTTGTCTGCAAGGAACAGCTAGCAGTGACCATCGAGGGGGAGAGAGATCGAATGGCCAGATGAACTTCCCAGCTAGCAGTCAGCGGGGCCAGGGACCAAGGAGTAGGGGGTGAAAAAGAAATTCAACTGAACAAACAAAGATTGAGCTCACACTATGTGCCCAGCTCTGCAGCTGGAAGCAAGACATCCCATCGCACAAGGCAGAGCC